TATATATATATATATATATATATATGAATTGTTTAAATGTATTTTTGAACGAATTAACAGATCCAGACAAATAAATGAGCATTATGTTAATGACCCAATAGTTAAGGTTACCTTAGCAAACTAATATGATCATACATCTTGTTAAGTGAAGTTTTTCTCTATGCTTTTAATTGTCTGAGACAACATTGATCCATTTTATAATGCTTCTGCTATCCTTTTAGTGCAGATGAAGGCATCTCATATAGCAGACCTGAAGTAAACAAATTAATGGCGAGCTATTTTAAAACAGTCTCAATGGGAGATGTCAATGATAAAACAAATATCTGAAACAGCAAGAGTTTAAACAAAGAACAATCCATAAATAAAAAAAAACAGGGATCTTGTCACACTGGGAGGGCTTTTCAATGCCCACCATTACAAACAAGTATAGACCAAGATCAGCGTCCTCTTGCTAAATTTAGACATCTTCTCCAGGGAATTTCAGTTTGCATTGATCAGCTAAAAATATATTCATTTATTCACATTATCCATCCCAGATGGAATTAAAGTAAGTTTGCTCCCTAAAAAAAAAAGACAATTCTGTCATCATTTACTCACCCTCACGTCCTTCCAAATACATTTGATTTTCTTTCTCCCATAGTTGATGACAGAACTGTCATTTTTAGCTGAAATAAAGCTTTAAACTGCATGTGAATACATAATTTGTTCTATTTACCAAGTGAAACAAATGTAAAGCAATCAGTTCTGCATTCAACATAAGGAGAAAAAAAAGCAGCCATGAAAATTCCTTAGAAATTTAATTATATGTAATAACCAAAAGGAGTTATACGTGCATGAATTATTGTAATGGGGTAAAATTACGTTTGTGCAGACATAGGAGGAGGAAGAAGAGTGGGACAAGGGTGAAGATAATGAGGAAGACAGATACACACACAGGCATAGGTGCACTCAAAATGACCCCACCCCCCCTCCACACACGCACACGCATGCATGAAGAATTATTCACAGGCATACAAAAAAAAAAAAATTATTTCCTTCTAAACACACACATTCACACAAAACACATAATTTCAGAAAACATGGCAAAAATGACTCATACTGTGCATTGGACGGTGTCCCAGAGGACAAAATCCAGAAAAAGAATGAAAATGAAGAGAAAGAAAGCAGAAAATGTGTGCATACCAGCTGTCTCGGGTATTAGCCTCCTAAACAGATTCCAACAATTCCGCAATTAAGAATCACAATGCTGCAATTAGCATGCCACAGTTTGCAATGACCTAATTAATGTGCATCTCATGTGTGCTTAACGACACGCATATGGCATTTTGTTCCATGTCAGGTACGGTAACACACACACACGTGCGTGGATTTAAGGGTGTTGCTGTGCGAGAAACGGCCACATTTCGGCACTCAGCTGCGATCTGATATCAACATTTTCATCAAATGTGCTTGTGACTCTGCTCGCAGCAGCGACGGTCACGCATGATTTGCTGGGCGTGCGCTCGGCCTGCATTCATGCGGCGTTACTGCGCCGGTTACGTGTTTAATCCTTATCTGTAACCTTGACTGCACAGATTGCTGCTCCAGCGTGTAATCGGTGAAATCCAGAAGCCTGCTCACCGCTACTGATACATAATTTATCGGCAGATACAATAATCCCTAAACTAATTCAAACACACACACGCAGCCACAATGTAAGGTTCATCCGATTAAATTCAGCTGAAATATATATTTTGAAATATATGGACATGGTAAACACTTATGAGAACAAATAGTTGTTGTCATTTTGTTTTCCTCATATATTGAATTTTTCATTATTCTCATTAAGGCTGTGCACTTAATCAAACTAAAATCCATTAGATCATAATTACTATAATTTTGGCTTTTTAAATAATTTGTAGGGTTATACACTATAAATACATATACATATGACACATCATATGGACCAATCAGAAAGCAGCATGAGGAAAGGCCAATGAAGAACGCAGAATAGGCTGTGCAGCAAAAGAAAAAGAAAAAAAATGAATGCAGCATAGTTTGGATGCAGGAGAGCAGATCTCAAGCAGCCAAGTGGTTATAGCACAAACAATGTACTGCAAAACCAAGGTACCATATATCTGCTATATATAAGCACATGAAACAGCACGAGAAAAAATAGAATCAGGGGGCTGGAGTTTAAATAAATAATTAAACAAACCTTCTTAAAAAAAAAAAAAGTTATTCAGATAAATTATAAGAAATTCATTATTAATGTCATGAAATTGCTATTATTTATTTTAATTCTTGAAAAAAAAAAAAAAATTTAATAACAACATTACTGGCTTCTCAAATTGAGTAGATAAATCTATTAACTCTTTATAAATATCAAGCGCCTGGAAATAATTTTTGATATTGTTTCCAATCTTTTATGAAATTTCCATCTGGAACACAAACATCTGATAAGTCTATAGAATGCTATTATACAAGTAAATTAGCAATATGTATTGTAATGACATTGTAATTTGTCAAGGTGTGATGGCATCCTAGCTTCGAAAGTTTATTTACGACAATAAAATAATTAAAAAATAATTACAATTCTTCTGAACTTTTTAAGAATAAAAGATAAGTAATTTCCGCTTTATGAATAGAAGATCATTCTTAATAATGTTTTGTAAATCCAGGCTTCTAGATTTGAATTAATCTAATAAACTATAAGTAATAAACAACAAATAAAACTAATAATGAGTTCAAGCAGTCAAATAAAACAACTGAAAAAGATTCGGGCTAAAGCATATAAGGGAGGAAAAAAATCAATAAAAGCAATCAGTAAGCAATCAAACATTTTATTTTCCGCAATGCAAAAAGCACCCATGATGCCCTCATAGACTTCCAGTCTATAAGAAACGCATGCAGCACGGCACAGAAATTGTCCAAAAACATCTTACTCCATTAAATAGAGTGCTCCTGTGTACAGTCATAGTGCAAGCAAAGCTTATTTGCAAATGTTATTTACTTATTTATTGGTCTATTTTTTTGTCTCAATTGTTTCTTTTTAATCGAAACGTACATGTGCAGATAGTACTCACAAATTCACTGTAAAAGTGCATTGCTTCTGTCTGTAAATATCAGACCATCCTAAAGCTTGTTATATGTCAAAGCTTTGCTTGCAGCCCCAACATGTCATGACCCCTTAAAACAAAAGGTTGACTGCATCTCAACACCTCCTTGTTTTACACAGTGGCCTGTAAAGACATATCGACCACTTCCCCCCTGTGGAATTGGGCTCAGGTGTTCATAACTGCAAAGCCACTGAAATCCTTGTGACAGCATGAAACACATACAGGAAACATTATATCCTCTATCACAACACAACACAACACACAAAATCAAGGTCTTTAATGCATACGTTTCACTCAGCTCCAGCCTGATAAGCACAAAACGAATGCTAATGCTGTTCAAGCACTGGACATTTTCTCTACAGCTACTTTTTGTTTGTATTCAAATGTATATGTTTACAAGGACTGCGATTAAAAATGTAATTATACAAGGGCACAGCAATGGAATAAATGTGACCTGTGCTGGCAAAATGAGTAGGAATGTGCACGGGCTAAATTTGAGCTACACGCAAAACGAGTACAAAATGTCAATTTTGGTCGGATTTGAGGTTTTCACAAAAAAGTGAGTTCATTAATCCCTCATCTAGCGATCCCAATGCTCCACATAGTAATTAAACATCTAAAATGATCATTATTTGTACGTTTTCTGAAAGGTCTACATTCTTTTTTTTTTTTAGGTCTACATTCTTTAGTTGTTCATCAGAAGCAAAGCACTTGTGTCTGACGTTTTGGTTTTGAAAGGAACATGCAGGAATGAGGAAATAAAGTGTGGGACTTGATTGTTGTTAAAAGA